ATAACAAGCATTCGGTTCCGCTTCCAACTCTTCTAATAGTTGATAATAATTCTGGCCCATGCTATCTGTCATATCCATAAAATGAGCATCCATATCAGTAATAGTATCCACTCGAGAAGAACGTGCTTGCATATCTATTGTTGATGGTGTTGCATGAACATCGTCCATGTTGTTACGGCGACCATTGTCATTTGAGATTTTATCGTTAGACATCTAATGTAAAATAAAACAGATCGAGTTAGATGAATCATGAAAATGAGGAAACAAAATATGAAACTACTCGACAAAATCAATACTCGAATGAACTTACCACATCTGAGCTTGTTGAACTAGATGTTATGTCGATGATGGCCTTCTCGTGAGAAGCAGCTGCCATTGGTGGGTCGTCTTGCTCACTGTCATTGAGTGAATCTTTATTACGAAATGATTCTCTAGCAGGATTGCTGTTCATATTGAGTTCTATATTGTGATAACAATTATGGACAAAAGCTGAATTTACAAGTAAGCAAATCTGAGCAGTATTCTCGAATGGTATTCAATGTGATATCTGAAATCATATGGAACGTCGTGGACAGAGAAGAAAAAGAAGAGATACAAAAGAGTTCGAACTGACAAAGCAAGAAGCAATCTGACTGTTTAATAGGGAGTGTGATCGCCGAACAGAGAATGAATATTTTCGCTGGACGATAGCGACTATATATATACATATAGAGCATGGAAAGAGAACAAAAGACTCATACCATTGCCCATTGGTCAGTTTAAATCGTCCAATATCTGACTAGACATCAAGGAATGTTCTATGGAATATTCTCGTCAGAAAAGAATAGTAAGAGAAAAAGCTTACTTCAATGGCATGTATTTAATTGATCAGTAGAATATGTGAAATGGTCAGTAAAATATTTAGACGATCAGTGTTTTACTTGATTCGCTCCGTAGAATATACGAAAAGATCAACCTTTAGTATATAGTGAAAACACGAGACCCTAGGGTCCTGGGAACAGCTACCAAGACACGTGTTTCGACCCGGCTAAGAGTCCAATAAGAGTTATTAAGGATAACATGTGAAAAGGTACGTTATATGAATTGAGTATCGAAAAATTTTTGTATCGTTATTTAAATTTTGCAATAGATATTGATTTAGTGAAATCTCTTGGTATAGATAGGCGAAACGAAGCGAAATAGTTGACAGTAGCTTTTAAACTGTTGTGGAGAAAGTAATATATGAGAATTTGTATCTTGCTGTTGAGTTTCATAGTATTCAATCAGTGCCAATTTTTATCATAGCGATTCGTATTCCGAACTAGTGTAGGAGATTTGACGTAAGTATCGTAGTAATTGCGTGACACGCGAACGAGAAATATATTATTTGAGTGAGAGTCATGTGTGTCGAAAATATCTCTAAAAGTTATAGAATAAACTGTGTTCCACTTACCACAAGAGTCGACGATTGTAAAATGAACAATCATTCAGAGGTGCGCGGCTATTTATACTGCTGCATGAGAGAGTGAGCGAGACAACGAAAGGAAAGAAAAAGGCGTTAGTGTGGGCGCTAGTAAAGACGCTAGTAAAGACGCTAGTGCGGGCGCTAGTAAAGACGCTAGTAAAGACGCTAGTAAAGACGCTAGTGCGGGCGCTAGTAACGACGCTAGTAAAGACGCTAGTAAAGACGCTAGTGCGGGCGCTAGTTGGCAACAGTATGTTTGGAAGGGCTCTTTCATCAATTGAATGTGGATGAAAAGTATGTCACAAGTAAAACTAATGGATTTATTCGAATAAAAAGATATGTCAAGTATGAATATATTCTCGAACGCATACTACACTGGTGTGCTGATTCTCTTTCCCTTGGTTTTATTCCGAACTTTGATCATCTTGACAATGTGAGATTACTTGCTGAATTTTCAGACACATTCTAATACCTAAGACGTTTCTCATCTCTATCCTCAATAATACACATCTAATAACAGAATATTCTTCTCCGTGTTTCTTCCTTCGACTACCACAGATGATTTAAATTCGTTACCACTTCATTGATCTGATTGTCCAGCGCATTTCTCACTCTCTCTAGAATATACGTCTGTGTCTCCTCCTTCACATATCGACGTCGTCAGTGATTGCAAAGTAAAAACAAATGTACATCAGAGCCTATTTTCTCTGTCAAAAGAACATTATTGATCATCAAAAGTGTTGTATCAATGTATAGATGTACTTTATTCAGATTTAAAATCGAACAAATGCATTATTCAAGTAGGAAGAAAAATGAGCATGATTAGCACAACGACAATTAATAAATAAAGTATAAACACACGATAGTTATACACAAGTAAAAGGAGAGATAGCAATGACTTGAACTGTATTTCATTCAATATCAATAAATGAAGTTTACCATTGAATCAAAGAGTTCATCCAGAAAATCATTCTTCGAAAGTTTACAATTGTTGCTAATCTAGAATTGTATTAGTTATCTGACAGAGAATTGTGTTTGTGGCGATAATTGCATGTATTAATAACACATGAAATGCTATTGTTTCTTTTGTCGCTTGTTGAGCGTTGCTGTTTGTGACTGTTTCTTAACTTTTTTCGACGGGTATTGTTTGTAGCCACGTAAATTTGATACAAATTGTCCGAATTCAAGACAATTTCGATCTTGTATAATATAATCATTCCATGCTAGAATATTTTGTGTTACTTTGTAATTGCAATACGAACCGGTTATTGTATCAAGGAAACGGGTTCTTTTGTTCATCTTGTTTCGAGATATAATTTGTATATATACTTCTCTTCGATTATGTAACTGACTAAGTTCTTCACCAATACAAATATACTGAATATCAATGTCACGAAATTCGCCGCGAATGTAATCCATAATAGTAGTTTTCGAAATACTAGTCCATGATATAATAGCTATTGACTTTGNTTGCCTGTAGCAAACGGCTGGTTCCTTTGTTCTCGGGGAAAAGTAGATGTCGACCTTCCTCTGGGTTTCAGGAAGTATTGTGGAAAGTTTCACGCCGATAGCTACTATAGGGACTGAATGCATAGCGAACAAACAGACAGACAGACAGACAAACAAACTTTCTTCTTTATATATATAGATTTGCTAATCTCAACTTTTGCTTCTTCAGCAACCGATCTCTTATACGTATTTAATTTCGCTATTGAATAGATGTTTAATGAAATATAAATGCAGATGTATTGCTTCGCCGACGCGTTTCATGTATTTATTTCATAAAAACAAAAAAACACTCATCAGGGTTCTGCATTTATAAGAAAGAACGGAAAAAGGAACAATATAACTATAGAAATGAAAGTTGTAAAATAGAAAATGAAAGTCCTTGTGATAGTTGAATAGATAGTAGATAGGTACTGTATTTGAGATGGCAGATCAACACTTGTTTAAATGTAAATCAAAGCAAGAATGATTCAGGTATCACGAGTCTCTACCAGACGTCTTTGTAAGTTTTTAACATTACGGGTGCCTAATATTGGAGAGACATCATTGATAGGTGATTCCGAAAAATACTCGTTCCAAAGGGTATGGAACTTTTTTGGAAACGAGCGCATACTCGAACAATAGGTAAAATGAATGAACATTTGATGGCCATAATCAATGGGCTCTTTAACTTTAACAGCGCTATTGATTATTTGTTCGCGAACTTGCTGATAATTAATTGAAGTAATGGCTTGTTTCACATTGAATTTGCCAAACATATAATTGAACTGTTGATCTATAAATTGAATTGGGTAATGATTGAGGATTAATACCATTCTTAAATTATCACGCTCCTTGAGATATGATTCGAAAGTAGAGCAATACCTCAGTGCGCGCAACAACATAGCAAAGGGTATGTTCTTTTTCATGCGCAGCGGATGTATACTGTTCAACGGTAAGTAATATGGTTCATAAGATGGTTTGTGATAAACACAGGTGAATAATTGGCCATTTTTGTTTTCAATATGCGCATCTAAGAAGTTAGCATGTAAACCGATTTTGGCTGATAATTTAATGTTGGCATCGAATGTGTTCCATCGATCTACTTCTTTAGATAGATGACGTTGTGGCCAATTAACAATAATGAAAATATCATCAATAAATCTTAGATATAAACCTAAACTGTTTGTAACTTGTCTAATAATATTTTGCTCATAGAAGAACATATAACAGTTGGCAATGGTCAACGCCAAGGGAGACCCCATTGCTCCACCTCTAACTTGATGATAATATTGTCCATTGTATTTGAAATAATTATTCTTCATAACAAATCTGGCTAGTCGAAGAATGGCTTCTGTTCTTACATTATTGACCTTTTTCAATTTAAGATGATCCAACATACTCTTTAAGGACAAAACACCTTCCACATGTGGAATGACTGTATAAAGATCAGACACATCTATTGTACACAGGATGGTTGAGGATCTCAAATTATTTGAAGACCATTTTTGGAGTCTCTTAATTAATTCCAAGCCAGAAGTGACTGTTGTTGAAAAAGCCATTTGATTGAACAGTGGTCTAAGCATGTTGTCCAAAAACTTGGAAATCTTTACTGTTGGATGCTTCAGACCTGAAACAATGGGACGCAATGGTGTACCTGGTTTATGAGCCTTTGGTAAGTAGTAAAGGTGTGCCAATTCAGCTTCATTAGCATGTACACACAATTCTTCATATTGCTTCTGAGTAAGCCATTTAGCTAAACGTAAATCTAATAAATATTTGTTTGTTCTTGTAATTAGATCTGGTAAGGGATCATTGGGTGGGTGTGACTAGCTGCCATAATCTAGATTTCACTTCTGCTAAGAAGTTCATCAGATGGCTTTAAAGAATTAATAATGATCTTAAATGAATAAGACCAAAATCAAATTCTTATAATCACATAGTTACATATTGTCATCAAATGAAATGACAACAAGATATGTAATAGTAATTACAATACCCAGTGGTGAGACTAGCTGCCGGGCCTTTCGAGGCACCCTCAATATGTGATATACCTACTGAATCTGTACTGTGCCTACTGACCGGGCCTTTCGAGGCACCCTCAATATGTGATATGCCTACTGACCGGGCTGTTCGAGGCACCCTCAATATGTGATATGCCTACTGACCGGGCTGTTCGAGGCACCCTCAATATGTGATATGCCTACTGACCGGGCTTTCCGAGGCACCCTCAATATGTGATATGCCTACTGACCGGGCTTTCCGAGGCACCCTCAATATGTGATATGCCTACTGACCGGGCTGTTCGAGGCACCCTCAATATGTGATATGCCTACTGAATCCGTGCTGCATGTAGTGGCCGGGCCTTTTGAGGCACCCTCAATATGCTGTATGCTGAAAGGATGTGTGAACAATTGCTGAGTTTGCGATGATATTATATGATGTTGTTTTGTAATTATGTACACGTAAAAGTAGATTATGTCGGAGAACAAATGAGCAATGAGTATATATTTGTGAATAAATAGTTGGATAAATAAGTGAACAAATAGTTGGATAAATAAGTGAATAAATAAGTGAATAAATAAGTGGATAAATAAGTGAATAAATAAGTGGTTAAATATGGGAAGAATTAGAGCAAAAACGAATAAATGAATAGAAGAAAGAACGCTACAAGAAAGTGTAATTGTGAAACAGAGAGAGTTGATGAAAAACGCACGAATAATCTAGTTGTGAACACAATGGATGATAGTTGAGTAATGATAATTGAGAATAAGTATGAGAAGGAAAGAAATGCAGAGAAGAGTGGAAAAGAGAACACATTAGGGGAGAAATGAGTTCAGATTGAGTGAAGAAATTATATGATTATTTTTTGGTATTATGTTCTTTGACGCGTTTGATCCTATCATCAATGTCATCTTGACCACCTGTACGTTCTTCATTGCTTGTCATCGATGAATCTGTTGTACCATCATGACCACTACTCGGATTCGAAGGTGGCTGACTGTCTTGATCTGTTCGTTGTCGTTTGTGAAAATATTCATCAGGACCTACATTGAAAGACACACACATATACATATATAGTGCAGATGAATGTTCAGATGTTGGATAGAATAGTGAGCATTTGCAAAAGAAAAGTCAGGGATAAGTAGATATTACCCATGACATAAATAAATGCACGTTTACGCCAATAGGCAGCCGTTCGTCTTTGCTCATCTGTCACTGGCTCTTTGATTAATGAACCAGCATCGTCTGGATTCAATAGAACAATTGCCGGTTGTCGAACGTTAATTGTTTTCGTTTCACGATATTTGTCACTGACCTAGATATGAAGAAGAAAAGAAAAAGATTTCACGAGAAAGAAGTCAAGAAGGAGTAGAGTGAAGGTTTGCATTGACACTCTTTTTCTTAATTACACTGATGGCTTTCCACTTTTGCGTTAATAAATTTTTTTTGTTTGGGTAATTCAATTTTTGAAAATCATCCCATGGTATATCATCATAGACTGAATAACGAGCCTGATCATTCCAAAGACTTAAATTCCATCGTTCTTGAAAATAATTGACGGGACCAGGTAAAGATAATGCAAATGATGTTTTGCCTGTTCCTGTAGGACCAATCAAAATGAAGCATTTTGCACGTCTAGCACGAAAGAAATGATGTCGAATCCATCGATTCACTGCATCACCTATAGGAATAAGAATATACACACAGAATGATATGGATACGCATAAACATGATTGAGTTTTCATTCAGTTGGAGATAGTAAGAATCCTCTTCTGAAAGACAAAACAAAGATACGTACGTAAGTTTAGTGTGCAGTGGGGAAATGAATATGGCCATGCATATTCCAAATTCTCCGTAGTACCAACACGTGCATCTTCATCATGTTGTGCTTGTAAGCGAGTATATTTAAATATAGCTAGGTACCTAAAATATAGATAAGAAATCAAACGAAAGAAATTGCAAATTTGTGTGGATAGTTAGCTATACCAGCTACCGCGTTCAGTATATTTGTCGATCATTTCTCGTCGAATTAAGTCCATAGCATCACGAATATTATGCTTTGCTAATTCAATGGCTTGTCTATAGACTTCATTTCGATGTTGACGTTTTTGTTCTGCTATATCTCGAACTGTCATTCTTGTCGTGATAGGCACTAATGGTAGTTGTTGTTGTTGTTGTTGTTGTGTTGAAGATGGCATAGGCATAGGCGAAGTTGTTTGCGCCGGCCACTCCTTTGGTTGTCGTCTACGTATTGTTGTTGATTTAAATTGACCGAACTCAATGTAGTTGCCACCCTTTTTAACGTATTCATTCCAAGCTATATCATTTCTTGTCACTTGATAATTACAATGAACTCGTGTAATTTCATCCAAAAATGGTTTACGTTTATAAATTTTCTCTTTAAAAATAATCTGTATATGTAAATGTCGTCGCTGATTGATGGGACCTATTTCTTCAGCAATAAGAATATATTGAATATTGGCAACACCGAAATTTGTTTTAATGAAATCCATGACATCTTGTTTGCGTACATCTGTCCATGATGTAATGGCAAATGTTTTTGCACTGTAACAAGGCACTGCTGGTGATTGTTCTTGAAGGTTGAATTGAATTTCTTGAGCTAACTGATCTCGAGCAACATTACCGTAGTAAGCATAAGGAATATCATGATCAGAAATGGGACCTGTTTGATTCAGAGGTGGATATGGATGCGAATGAGTCTCTTCATTGTCTTGCTCCTCCTCGTCCATATTCTCTTCTGGTGTTGCTGTTGCTGCTGTTTCTGCTGCTGTTCCTGCTGTTGTTGTTTCTGCTGCTGTTGTTGCTGCTGTTGTTGCTGCTGTTTCTGCTGTTTCTGCCGTCGACGGCGGCCCGAAATGAATATCTAAGTGCTTTGTAACGCATTCTTTCATTGCATCCTCATCGTTATCAATATTATCATGGATCGTCGTGTTGTTGTACCATGATGATGGTTGAGAAACAATGATTGCTTTCCAACGTTCAATTTCTTCATCTCTCGCTTGATCAAGAATATCATTCAAATCTTCTTCATATTGATCCTTCTCGTTTTCGCCATCTTCCATGTCACTTTCGTCTTCTGAGTGAGATGACTCTTGTTCGACATTGATCTTGTCCAATTTTTCATTGACATCCGTTTCAACTGCTTGAAATACTTCTAAAGGAATAATCCTACCTGGCTGAAATAGTCGTGGCTGATTTGTCATAGGTGAAGGTGTAATAGACATATTATCCAAATTGTAATGATGATAATAGAAATCCTCCTTATCATCAGCTCCTCCTGCAATCATCGTTGTGTTGCTTGCTTCCTAAATATACAACATCATGGTACAATTCATATTCAGTAAATGATTTCATGACTGGATTATTTACGAGTGTTAGTGTTGCTGGACGCGATGATACCAATCTGTCGTTTGATGTTGCATTAGTATCATAGGTGTTATCGTCCATATTATCGTTGTTTGATTGCATACTGTATCCCTTTTGAGTGGTATCTTTATCTGGAGAAGTTTGGCGAATCGTATCGTATATATCCTAACAACAGAGAGTGACAAATATGTGAAAGTATATACATATATATATATATATATATATATATATGTCAACGGTGCGCGATACAAACAAAGAGACGTTACATTCCTCTCATTTTCTATCGTGTACCGTCCTTTTTTCGCAAATTCCGGCTCACATCCTCAATAGATACATGTATCTATGAATGCATTCAAACACAACAGTCGTCCACGGATTGAATGTGATGGCTAGCATATTGCACAGTGCGATACATGAATTTTATTTCTATACTACCAATCGTAAACGATCGATCGATTCTCAGCGCTTGTAGAGTAAAAACTTGCTTGACAAAAATCACATCAACAGATGACTCATGTTTCAGCAGAGAATAGTACAAAATTCCCTGACGCTACGATAAGCAACAACAATCGCTATGTGCATATCCAACACGCCATCGTTCATATACAGACACAGAACAAAGGACGAAGGAAGATAAGAAATATGTTCAACTACCACGTCCAAAACAGGGTCAAGAGATGAACGAGAAAGCAGCTCAAAAAGTAACTTACCTTGAGAATCGACTATCGATGAATGAACAATTCTGTGAGCGAACATCGCTATTTATAGCATCGGTGTGGCCACGAAAGAGAGAGAGAGAGAGAGAGAGAGAGAGAAAGAGAGTTGAATTACAGGATTGGCCAAGAGCACGACTAAGTTACCATTGGTCAATGTCGAAAGCGAGAGAGTAAAGCAGGAGAGAGATGAAAGACTACGAAGAGAGACGGAACAATAATGAGAGATGAAAGAAAACGAGCCCCAACCACCAATAATCAAAGATGAAAGAAAACGAGCCAAAACAAACAATAAAGAAAGATGAAAGAGTAACGGCACTCACAAAATAATAAAGAGAGAAGAATTCACCCTTGAACTCACACATAGTTCACTAATGGAAACGAAGTTCAACCTGACCTCAAACATGCCGGTCAACATACACTCCATCGAACAGAACGGGTAAAAATTCCCAATACCATGGACCTATACTTACTACAAAGTACCACATCATTTCTGAACAACAAAAGGAGACGTTCCTATATCACGTCATCTTCGGAAACTTTTGAACGAATTTTATCGTGTGCGATAACAACGATTAGTGGGATACCGGCTTCTTTCGCTTTGTCGAAAGCGGCTCGATTGTTTATTTCAGTTCGTAGCTGATTACGAAAGACAAGAATATGTGCATCACACCAAGGCTTCTCTTTTAATGATTCAACAGCTTGAGCTGGACTGATAATTCGTGTACAAAGATGATCAAAATCATCGCACGTGGTTTCTCCTAAACGAAGATGGTTGAGTAGGGTCAAGTATTTTTGATCTTCAGCTCTCATCTGCTGTATCAATTTCGTGACTATTGATTTATAGGACCAATGATCGTCCAACTCCATACTGAGTATCAGTTTCTATGGATAAATAAGAAGACAAACCACACTCGAGATTTGAATATAGAGGTTTGTCGAAAACTGGCATGCATTGTATATAATCGCCGAGGAGAATAATATTAATACCACCAAAAGGTACTTCGGGTGGTGCTCGTTTTCCAACAATGGACAACTCATCTAATCGAGTTAATAATCGAAGTCCAACCATCGAAATTTCGCAAGGGGGAAAAGAGTGATTTCTTGATTTCCTGATTTCTAATTTCAGTTCTGTGATTTCTCATGATTTCCCGTGATTTCTGATGACTTCTCCGGATTTCTTTTGATTCGAAGAAACAATTGAAACCTTTTTTCTATGCAATTTGTGAAGTACATTTTTAACCAATTTGGTTGTTAGTTCAAAAGTCTTCATATATGAAGTCTTAACACGCAAAATAATAGTGAAGCGACGTAAGCAAAGCTATTAGACATAGAATCACAATTATTTACTGATCAACATGGAAATGTATACAACAAAAAGACAGTTATACACCTCTGAAACGTGATACTCTGTCGGCAGATAATGAGTTCTTATCTTTTTTCCGTAAGCCATGTGGCTGTTTGCTTGTGCAAGAATTTTGTTTGATTGTTGATACTCACTTTGAAGTACGTATGTTCACGTTCTTGTTTCACATTGTCAAATACTCGTATTCCTTGAAAACCTGATGTGCTAGAAGTTCTAATGCTGCCTTGTTCTTCATCTAATTCTATTGCATCGTCGTCACNCTGGCTGAAATAGTCGTGGCTGATTTGTCATAGGTGAAGGTGTAATAGACATATTATCCAAATTGTAATGATGATAATAGAAATCCTCCTTATCATCAGCTCCTCCTGCAATCATCGTTGTATTGCTTGCTTCCTAAATATACAACATCGTGGTACAATTCATATTCAGTAAATGATTTCATGACTGGATTATTTACGAGTGTTAGTGTTGTTGGACGCGATGATACCAATCTGTCGTTCGATGTTGCATTAGTATCATAGGTGTTATAGTCCATACTATCGTTGTTTGATTGCATAGTGTATCCCTTTTGAGTGGTATCTTTATCTGGAGAAATTTGGCGAATCGTATCGTATATATCCTAACAACAGAGAGTGACAAATATGTGAGAGCATATATATATATATATATATATATATATATATATATATATGTCAACGGTGCGCGAGACAACCAAAGAGACGTTACATTCCTCTCCTTTTCTATCGTGTACCGTCCTTTTTTCGCAAATTCCGGCTCACATCCTTAATAGATACATGTATCTATGAATACATTCAAACACAACAGTCGTCCACGGATTGAATGTGATGGCTAGCATATTGCACAGTGTCATACATGAATTTTATTTCTATACTACCAATCGTATACGATCGATCGATTCTCCGCGCTTGTAGAGTAAAAACTTGTTTGACAAAAATCACATCAACAGATGACTCATGTTTCAGAAGAGAATAGTATAAAATTCCATGACGCTACAATAACCAACAACAATCGATATGTGCATATCCAACACGCCATCGTTCACATACAGACACAGAACAAAGGACCAAGGAAGATAAGAAATATGCTCAACTACCACGTCCAAAACAGGCACAAGAGATGAACAAGAAAGCAGCTCAAAAAGTAACTTACCTTGAGAATCGACTATCGATGAATGAACCATTCTGTGAGAGAACATCGCTATTTATAGCATCGGTGTGGCCACGAAAGAGAGAGAGAGATAGAGTTGAATTACAGGATTGGTCAATGTCGAAAGCGAGAGGGTCAAGCAGGAGAGAGATGAAAGAATATGCAGAGAGACGGAACAATAATGAGAGAAGAAAGAGAGCGAGTCCAAACAAACAATAATCAGAGATGAAAGAAAACGACCCAAAACAAACAACAAAGAAAGATGAAAGAGTAACGGCACTAACAAAACAATAAAGAGAGAAGAACTCACCCTTCAACTCACATATAGTTCACTAATCGAAACGAAGTTCAACCTGACCTCAGACATGTCGGTCAACATATACTCCTTCGAACAGAACGGGTAAAAATTCCCAATACCATACACCTATACTCACTACAAAGTACCACATCATTTCTGAACAAAAAAAGAGAAACATTCAAATATGTCATCACCTTGAAAATACTTCTTCTTCGTCAAATGAAGACTCTTCCATTAAAAACCTCTACCCTTACTGTATGTTCTCCTCAATTCACGAAAAATTGAGAACGTCTTCCAGAGCTTACAAAAATCTTTCCACCAACAACTACGGAGTCTAAGAAAAATAGTAAACCAAAGACTCTCAGCAATGTGTGATGGCTGATAATGATTTCACAAGAGAAGAAATAATTGAAAACAATCATACGAACGCGATTTCAATAGTTGCTTATACGGTCGATATCCGGATAAATTCAGAATTGTTCGTAACTACCTAGTATCTGTTTATTTGTCAGTGACCGTTTTCTATTAATGCTTGAAAAAAACTGAACAGATGAT